CTTTAAACAAAGCTGATGTTTTTCCTCTCAAGGTATCACTGCACATGCATTAAATTTTTCAGCATTTCAACATACCAGGGTATTATAATTTACCTAAAGCAATATTTACTACACATTATGTAGGGGATAAAAGACAACACACTGCCCAATGCGAGATTAAAGAGCAAGAACGGGGGATGTTTGTAACCATGAGCAAGCTGCAGTCGAACATCCCTGTTAGCATGCAACAATGGGCAGTGTAGATTCCTTTATTTCAATTACAATACCCTGAAAAAATGAATTAAATGCAGTTGTATCTTGAGAAGAAAGAAAATCAACAAAATTGTAATTGTGTCATAGATGCTCGTACCATATAACGCTCACCAACAATTGAAAGAATGCACCAACAAAAGCATGGTTGTTTTGTTGGTCAATGATTCATGCAAAATTGGAAAATAGAATATGCCCAAGTGACATACAGTTTTGTGTTCATGCACTGACTTTAAAACTTCCCCATTGTCGTCGCTAACAGGCTACATGTGGCACTGATCAACCAATGAGAAAAAGACATTTAAATAATAGACAGTACATGGTATTATAATACATAACAGGTCTTGTCAGGGACATTGGCTTTAATAAATAATGAACTTGACTACATCTCGTCCATTATTTGCACACATCTACTGGCCAGCGCATTGATACCAAAATCATAGTGAGATACTAAAGACTGTGGCGCCCCCAACACCAGTCTATTTGTTTATTAGTCAGTCTCAGATACTACCACAAAATGTGCTTTATTTACCATAAAATAAAACTTAATGGCAATACATGGAGCAGCCCTGTCAAGAGGGTACCAGCTGATTCCTTGGTCATAAAATAAGTCCCTTTTTTAATGCAATAACAGTAATGGTAACCTTGGGAAAAAATATACCATGCCCCAATGGTATGGTCGGTAATAGCAAGTTTCAGAGGCAGACTAAGAAATAGTCTTTATAGTTTATATCAGCCTTTGATACAACCCCATTAAGTTGTGTATTACAAAGGGATACAAAATGTGTAAGAGTCCAATGTACAGAAGACGTGCAGGCAAGATACAAGGCGCAGTCTTTTATATCAACCTGAGTAACTGAGATCCCCCCCCTGCTTAATCAGGAACTCTGTGAACTCTGTAGGCAGAGATGTTTTCTAGCAACTACCGGTACAAGTAATTAGAATATTAATGACCGAAAATCACGATGTAAATTCCACAAATAAATTACAGTTTAGAATGCATAATATTATTCTTGCAAGTAACATGGGTATAACAACTAAACAAACTATCTACAAGAACGTGAAAGACAATGAACATGACAATATGTATTATTAGGGTGTCTGGACAGAGGTACACTCTTATCATAGTAAGTATGAAGTGAGCACATGCCTGCAAGCCATATCAATGTGTGTGAAAAGCAATTGTGATTCTCTGTCTCGTATACCCGCACTGTAGTTGGTGAGATCCTTGAGCAAATAGAAACCAAAAGCATTGTGCTATTTCAAAAACCCTGCTGCTAACATATCGTTAAAGGTCACCCTAGTGCAGAATGCTATGGAGTTGCCTTGGCCACTTCAGATCATGCATTTTAGCGACATACAGAGTTTAAGTTCTGGTATGCAAATCTGATGGTTTTGAGAACTCATCTCAACATGAAAGTACAGCTGGCCGGAGTGTAACGAATTCCCTCAGCATAGCAGATGAACATTTGAGGTCCAGTGCCCTTGATAGTGAAAACGTCACTCTGACCATGTGCATAGCAAAGGCCCCCAGTTGGGTTCAACTGCACACCAAAGCTATAAATGGGGGTAGCTGATACCATTAATTCCTTGCACTGATCAGGTGGTTAGTCCATGATGTGACCATGTCCACCTGTAGATAGCATCTGAAACTCGTTGCATCTTCTTTCATAGACCAAGGGGAGTAAAAATATCATCTTCCTAGACCAGTCAGCAAGATGATGAAGAATCAGCAATGGAACCATGTGGAGTTGCCAGTTTCAATATCAGAGAATACGACAAACCTGCAAGAAGCCTTTACTGCATCATTCTTAGATATGCTAGTGTGAGGCTAACTCTGATGCAATTAACCGTGCTTTCTTACCCCTCTTAGTTGTGCAGCACAGAAAATTTACCAAGAATGGGATATTAAGTATTTGATGTTGAAGACACCATTCTCTGTAGTAACACCAGTGTGCCCCGGTATGACAAGAGTGAGCTACTGGGTGAAGGGACTATTTAACTTCTAAATAGCAGAGTGCAGTTCTAAGCAAAGAGGACAGTCTTTAGGAATGAAGGTGAACGACGCAGGAGTCGCAGACAGTTTAGTCTGGGATAGTTAACAGATCCAGGTCATTAGGCAGTGCCGCAAGTGACACACGAAAAAAAAACACCTTCAAGCCAATGAATATTTCTGCTTCTACAGAAGTTCTGTCAGAGTTGACACAAAAACCACAACTGCATAATCTCTTGCCACGATGACAAGTTGCATGAAAATCATTGTTGAAATCGAACAACTGACAATGTTTACACTTTGGAAAGGTTAACTTTAGAGTTTGGTGAGTAAAAATGCTTCATTTTCACTCGCCATGGTTCTGCTGGTGCCTTCTCCACCACTGAGGGCGCAACTTCCTGTGTGATTTTCAATCCTTAGTACAGTTTATTTAACAGTAAATAAAGGCCATCTTGTAGGTAGTGTACTATTATAAAACATTATAGCTCGTTATTTTTATGCTCGAACAATGCCCCAAATAATTTTCAACTTTGCTAATTTGCCACCCCGATTAAATTTTTTCTCAGTAGACAAATGATCCTGCAATGACACCGAAATATTCTGAGAATAATTAATATGCGAGGATCTGTACCTAAAACTAATCAATATTTGTTATCTTTATCTGTGAACCAATTTATTTAATTTCATTCAGCGAGTGGTTCTCGAGATATAAATGGAACAAGATTTGATTCAAACAGTGACACAGACATTAGTACTCCTTTCTCAAAAAAATAAAGTGTACAATTGTAATTCATTTAAAATTCATTTGTTCATTAATGAACTACCCTCAAATGAATTAATTTCATGCTATATGTTCAGAAACTGGCAATCTTCATAAATAGAAGGCATTTCAAGACGCTCAACTTCGTGAATTTCTGTCTCACTCAGAGGTCATGCCTTCCACCGAGGCTAAACAACAACACTCCAAAATTGTTTTTGTTGTGACAAAGCCTTTATGATGAAGCATAATCAAGAGGAATTTGAACAAATAGTACTGTATTCAAAGCTATTTTGAGTGATCAGATAAAACTATGGTCAATTGTAAATAGGTAATTATTAAGTACATGGTTTAAAGACCAAGGTTGCACCAATAGTTGTGCATGATGAGAAACAAAAACAAAAAGTGGAAGGAATTCCATGAAAAACAAAATAAATGTATATATACTAGTATATATTTTATTTAGGATAGGGGTATGAATAAATGCTTTATCTTTTAATAATTTAATTTTAAAAGGTAGTAATATTTTTGTTATTGACTTTTTAGATGCTGACTGGTGTCCCAAATCTACTCTGGTTCAAAGCACAGAGTACTCAAACTTCCCAAACATGAAATCAGATGCAAGGGGGATCTGGTCTGTGATTTACAACTTGTATAATTTCTAATGAATTTGTATTGTGGAAATACGGTAACTCGTGTACAGGCTGCCAGACCCCAATTTCACTTGTACTTGAATTCAGTTCCAGCTTCTAATGAGATCGTGTGTGGAGCGAGTTAGGACGTTCAGAATCATCCGACAAAGGACATTTTTCTGTTATTACTAGCAGCACTGTCATAGCAACTGGAATTATTTACCAACATTCTCGTTCTTACTACTTTATCAGTAATTTTCTTAGCTAAGAAATTTACAGCAGAAAAAACATGACTGTATACCAGTAATCTAGGAATGATGTTCATTTGAATATCCATTTAGTCTGAATAATATTATAAATACATTTTAAACAAATATAAAAACGTTGAATTACAACAATTTTTCCTTTGAAAATGCACTGATATCTCCCTTTTTATAAACTTTATAACTTTGCAGTCATGGCTTATCCTTTTAAAATTCATAATTATTGCAGAACAGATATCACTGTGATACCTGTACTACTTCAGAATGTACAATATTACCATTTGCCAAATCAGACAGAAACCGTGAATTATCACCATTAAAAACTTTTCACGAGTCAATCACATATAATTTTTATTTCAATCAGCGACATACAGTATTCCCTGATTAGTCGAGACTTCATTCCACTCGGCATCTATAATGCTACTAGTACTGGCCAAATCTCTATTTTAATTTAAGTCAGTACGAGGTGAACTCAAGTCCTGCACTACTGAGCATGTTACTGCATATATGCAATGCATTATGGGAGATGATATATAATTAGATACTGGTATGCCGCTGGAAACGAACTAAATTAATTATATGTCAATTTTTTTGCATGATTTCACAATATTAGATTTCAATATCATTAATAATATACAATTTTTTCATCCCATGTCATCAAGCCAAATTCTGAGATATGATTAAATAATATCTGCATGAAAACCTGTGAAAAAAATGACAATATTGACTATTTTCCATAATATTTTAGACTCTTGTATCTCAAAAAATAATCTGGTGACCCCAATTTTTGATGGTATGATCTCATAATAATAAAAATATGCAAACATGACATGTAATCATCAATTCGACTCGAACCTCCCTAATTTTAATTTTATTGATAATAAAAGCAAATGATATTCTTTGAGAGGTATATGTGTAAATTTAATTGTGCATTTGATAGACTTCCTTCAATTGGTGTAGTTCTATAGAAACAGATTTTAAACATAAAAAATAAAAATCACCAAATGTGAAGAGAAACACCAACAAGAGTGTGATCCATTAGATATTTTTTTGCAGACTAAATAGTATGATTTTTTTTGTTTTTTGCTTTTTTGAATACCAAAATATTTTTTTTTTTTTTAGAAATAATATTTATATAAGAGAAATACACCAGTGACTACGACTACACCAATGCCAATATACTGTAGTAAAGACCTTTGCTTTTTCCAAATTTCACTGTCGTGTTGTTTTTTCCTCATTTTGGATAATCTTTCCTCCATACTGTGTCTTTTTTCTTCTCTCTTCCGTTTCCTGATTTCATGCTCCCTGTGTATAGGTGGTGAAACGTTTCATATTACTGTAATTACTCGAACAAACAGTGAATTATTTTTATATCAAAGAATAGAGTCTTTCCCTTCTTCAACAACTTGTCCTAACACTGTCAGACAACACACCTTTCTCGTTTGTTTCCATTAGCCTTTGTTCCAAATAATGTCATTAGAAATTACCTAATGTATTTAAGTATGCAAGGACACGTTTAATTCAGACGAAGTGAATAAGAACTTAAATAGCAACTACCGGTAATGTTGTTGCGCTGAAATACTTTCGCAAGGACTTTGGTAAGGTAATAAACTCCTTGTGATTCACCGAAAAGCAAAATAGCACAGTTGCAAATGTCTTTATTGTCTATGCATGATATCAGAGGTACGGGACATTACTTGGGGTTTGCAACGCGCATAGTACTGAATGGTGATATCATGTCAAGATCCCATTCAAGTCTCAACTCGTAGATAGCGAGACTGGTGCTACGACCTTCTGACATGACATAGGCGGTTTGTAATAAAACATGTATTACCACACTCATAGTGAAAAAATGTAATACATCAAAAATGTACAGAAAATATAGTTATCGTAATCTGTCATATCGAGAGCAGCTATTTTGATCCACCTGGACATCCCAGTATCCTAGTTTCATCGGGCATGCGCATTTGAATTTTTCTGAGTTGGAACGCCAAGTAATGTATCTCTGATGATATCCACGTATGATCTGTTTCATGCACTCTACTGTGTTATATAAGACAAACACTACTCTGTGACGTGAATGAGCGTAAGAGACATCTCTGCTAACGTATCAATATCGGTTTGATCAGTGGCTGTCACAGCAATTACTGTTTAGGCAAAATGAAATACACTTGATTTTATTTGTTATTCTGATACATTTCAAGCGTTTCTTTATTCTGTTAAGTACTGTAAATTACTTTATTTTCGCTTAGAATTAATTTTCGCTATTTTCGCTGGAGGAATGATTCAGTGAAAATAAAATACAACGAATATTCTTTTGTTCCTATATTTTACATTCAACTCGTCATAAATCAGTGAAAATAAATTCAACACAAAACACCCAAAGATTCTTTTCAGCGAAAATTAATTCCAGCTAAAATAAAGTATTATTCTTGCAAATTGCAGTGTATTAAAACTGTTGATATGCCAGCAGTAATCCAAATAATAAGTTCTACATTACCTTTTCGCAATATCGTCTGTTTCTGTATTAACTATTGGTTTTTCAGCCTTCACATTAACTGGGGATACTGTTTCTTTTGAGGCTTTATCCCGAAATTCTTGACTACGTGATTTCTTTGGTGGAATAGGGGGTGGTGGGGCTTCAGGTTCACTGTCATTATTACTATTGGCGCTGACACCTACATTATTCTGCAATTCAATTAGGAAATATACAGATTAGTACAAATATCCTGATAACGCTAAGATGCGAAATGTGAATACAGATTTTCGGTTATCTTTCTCAACTATCCTTACCTCACATGTTGGTAGTTCCAAACGACCATGTTTAAGAATCGTCTTAGCACCGGCTATTATGGCCAGATACGTAAATCGTAACTGATCCGGCGTTTGTATTAATCCCATCCGATACCGCCTCATCTCTAAAAGAATATTTTGTACTTCTATATTGTCCATGTCTTGATTTTTCTCGACCTGCAACGGAAAGTGTTTATAAATTAGATACCGAACAACAGTTTTACACTGGATAAAGTCAATAGCAGGAGCAATGAGAGTTTCATAATGAGTCCCAATAGCTAAGAGTGGACATCTTTGGGACAATACACATTTTTGTAATTTAGTTACATGACAACTGATCACCTGGACTGACATGTCAAATGCACAACGCTTGGTAAAGCTTGAAATGACAGAATAAACAATTACTGTAAAATGACTAATTTTCACTGGGTTTAAATTTCACTGATTTACCATTTCACGATTTAAATTCACGGTTTTGTTATTTAGATAATGGGTTCTATGCTAAATTTTAAGTATTCACTGGGTTTTAATTTAGTGCATTTTCCAGTCAGTGAAATAAGCAAAATTTAAACACAGTGAATAATTATCCCCTTCACAGTAGTCAATCGTGAAGGTTCTCTGGTTTCATGCATGTATAGCGCACATATATTATGAATTTACGCAATGTATGCAGCGGTGTATTATGGAGGTGTGTTATAGTCAAAATATGTCTGGATGTACAACACATGCAAATGCTGTTCTACTCGCTGCTTCACAGTTATACATCATAGATGCAGCCCTCACTGCACATATTTCTTAGACTGTACACCTGTGTGTATATTTATGACAAAATTAGTCATGCTACAAAACACTACCAGATATATAATATGATGTTATTACGAGGATACCTCAAAGTATGCACAAAGACAGTACAGCTGGAGTATCGACTGACAATGCATGGCGTACTGTCTGAGTGTACAATTTGAGGTATTCTTCTAATAACCTTATTAATATACATCTTCTCCTTTCAAGGATACACGATGGGAATGCCGAAATTTAAAATGTTTAGAACAGAATCAGCAAACTTTTTTGTGTGGAGTCTGGTCAAACCCTGGTGGCAGCCATGTTTGTTTTTATTATTAGAAGACGCTTACGCGCATAATCATTCCATATGGCAGGATGAAAATACCCCGAAAAATATTGCAAAATTACGCCATGCTGTAACTTATGGTGTTATGGTGACAGATGTATAATAATACTATTTAATACATGCATTTGTACTTAATTCAGTCTTCTCCCCGCAATGTGCAATCCCATTACTAGAATAGTTGAATTAATAGCATATAAACTCACCATAACAAGGCAGGCATCCACCATACAAAACATACCAGACCTGCCGATACCAGCACTGCAATGAAGTACTGGTGGTCCAACGTCAGCACTGAGCGAACCCGAGTCACGAACAGCAGATAAGAAATTCAAGAATGCTGCTGGCGAGTCTGGCAGTCCGAAATCTGGCCAGGTCGTATAGTGGAAATGAAATATATCTCTCGTATTACCCGACTAAAATAGAAATAAAACAAATTAAGAGTTTATTACTAAACATAAGCTGACATTGTAGACATACCATAGTTTACTCTAATTCGCAAACAACAAATGAAATACTCACCACCATGTCTTCAATCTGTAACGTCCTAAGCGTATAGTATGACCTGACATCTTCATCTAATAAGGCAATACGAATTTGTTCTTCTTCAAACGTGATGATATCATCACCTCCATTCTCCTCTCCTAATGGCCAGTACTGAGCACATTTGATCTGTTATATACATGTGGTTGTATTACATTACATGACATGTATTACACTATGTTATGTGTATTACATTAGTTACATGTAATACATTACATTACATGTATTACATTATCAGGTTAATGATAACATGCACACCTTGATTATGGTGTTTATTTGAATTGAGGAATTACTGTCACTGCCACATTGTTCGATCACCAAAACAGCAACATTGCTAGCTATCTTGCTGACTGCTTTACTAAGCACGGCTGAAGATCGTTACATAATTAGAACAAGTTGGGTCAATCAAACCTCAACAAGGGATATCAAACTAATAGTGGGGTACTAAGACACATTGGAATATAAATAGAAGATCACAATGCGATTGCTTTTCAATATATTTTATGATATACATTCTATATAATAAATGGCAAATTGCTGTCACAAACTATGCCATCGCTTTGAGTAACATTGCTGTCACAAACTATGCCATCGCTTTGAGTAACATTGCTGTCGCTATCTGCGTCATTATAGAGGGAACAAAGGTGTATTGGCAAACAACATTCACCGATTCATCTTTGGTTTGACTTACCGTGCCTTTCTCAATAACATTATTTAACATGACAACTGCTTTGGATCTTTGCTCCCATACCATCAACCAAAAGTGTCCCGAAGTAGAAGGCAGTGGTCCCTAAAAAACAAACATAATTATTATCATTAATGAAAGCAAAATTCCAACATACTGTTATCTAATTCGCAGGCTCCTTGGCAAGTACAGTAAAATCTGTATTAAAAGCCGCGGCTTCTATTAAAATGGTACAATGCAACAGAGGGGATGCGGTTTCTATTAGAGCATCTACACATATGAGAAATGGTGAATTTTTGGGGCTCAATTGTTCAAAAAGAATGGGTGCGACTTCTATTAGGGACGCGGCTTCTAATACAGATTTTAAAGTACTAGTATTGAATTTGTGCTCACGTAATTTACGAAATGTTTCCATGGACGAAATAAGTGATATTTTAATAATTGAATGATTGAGTGTGAAACAAATTTTATGTTCGATATATAAGTACTTCTATTGTAATAACATTGCACTCTGAAAACACTCATATACTCAGGCAGACATCTATGCATTTTCACTGCCAGGCAACCACCAGTGACAACAAAGGCCGAAAACTCTCAGAAAACTGTACTTTGGGATGGTTGTTGAGACTCCCCTGAACAGTGTAATAAGCTTACTCCTACATGTGCAACGAATATAAATTTTGCTCAGGATTACTTTGAAATTGAGTCTGTGCTGATTCCTTGACTTTGGCTGTTTTCACCAGCTCCTCAATTAGTGTTCCAAAGCAGCTCACACAGCCCATAGAAATACATGGTATAGTGGTGAGCATCTTAGCGAACATAGAACATTCTGTGGCATAGCTCTACTTCCGAGAATAGCCGATGATACAGATAAAAGCCATAACCTGGTCACAACGCATCTATGCACTTATAGTGACCAGTTACATATTTGTGCATTAGGGGAGAGTAGGAAATCAAACGGGCGGTTCACCGCAGTAATCACCGTGGCTCTCCGCGGTACACCGGGGAGAGCTGCGGACTGCTTATAATTAGGGGTCTCTACTGCGGTACTGGTAAGTACCGGTTGCAACCACGGTCGTAGGAAAGGTGTGAAATACGTACTTAACAGTTTCCTTTGTGATTCCACGAGTCTTTGTTTCAAATAGCTGTTTTTAAATAGAGCAGGTTACGAGCATCGCTGGCATGGAAATACTAAGCATATGGTAATATTATCGGCTCACGTATTTTATTAATATAAAAATCCATAAGTCCAATGCTGTATACAAGATGTTGTTGCGTATATGTTGTATTTTATGCATGTATTTATCACCAATTCCAAGAGTAAAAGTCGCAACTTTCGAAGGTACGAGTGTTATGACTCGTCCATACATTGCACTTACGTTTGTTACACTTGAATAAAGTCTACCACATGAAAAGAATGTTATTTACGAAGTTTTAAATAGCCGAGCCTTCCTGATTCGAGCCTCTTGTTGATTTGACAACGGTGGGTATCATTAATGTTTATTCTTTGCCTGTATCGCATTCCAGACAAAAAGTTCAAGATCGGTAAACAAGAAATGGACGAACTAAAATGGCATGATTATTAAAAAAAAAACAGAGTTAGGGAAGAGTAGGAAATCAAACTCGCGGTTTACCGCGGTCATTACCGCGGTGGTGGTGGGTGCTCGCCGGTCGACCACATTTTATGCAAATTTATGCATAGATTCCATGACCCCGGTTTACCGCGGTCGTGGGCGGTAGGCTCGCATGGCAATTTACACCCTATTGTTAAGACTATGAATGGACACAATAGACTGGGAAACTAAAGGTTACTTGCCGCCAAGTTCAAATAATAAAAATCGAGTGGTACCAGAAGAT